GACAAGTCGGGCATTAAGTAAAATGTGCATAAAATCACGAACGGTTTTGTGCGTCCAGATGACTCATCGATTACAATTAAGTAACAGTAATAGTGACATGAGGACGGAAAATGAAACTGGTAATGGGAATTCGAAAGAAGTGGTGGGCCACACTGGCAACAATCGTCGGTGCCCGTCTAATTGCGTTCCGACATCAAGAAATACCTTCAACTACCCCCTTCGATGGAAACATCTCCATATTGCATGCATCTACTCCGGTCGGATGTTCCGTCTTTCTGATCTGTGGTGTTGGACAAAACAGAAATAAAGCAAGTCCATTGTCGCGAGGAAAACCATATGATCAATGTCTACGTTCTATAGATTGATCAATTTAGGGACCGCTGAATTCGTGTCCGAACACCATAGTATGCCAGTGGGACACCGATATGTGGAACTGGTTAGAGAATTAAACTTAAAAATATCCTCGTTTATCCACGTTGTGAGATATTCTTCCCAATCCGTTCTTATTTGGTGAATTTTGACATATACAGTCACTGTTCAGTATGTGGGATGCCGGTAATCATAGGTTATCTGAAGAGCATCCAGAAATGAGGTCAACGGGATTCAAACACGTGACCTTTTTTACTTCTTTAATTCCTTTTTCTATTTATTGAACATACAACTGTACAATCAACTTTCAGGAAGGGGGCTGCGGCCATACAAAGGCTGCCTGGGGAAAATACAGATATAGGGAAGATGGACGGCGGTGGAGCGGTTTGAACCCGAGACACCCAGGTCACTAGTTGCTGACCAAATCACTTGGCCACCCTGAAGGATGAATGAGCTGAAACAGCTTTTCCCTATATAAGTCGCTCATGTATATTCCAAAAGCCATGTCTTCACCAACTAAAGGGATAATGATTTAGATGAATACAGGCCTGAGTTTTAGTCCTAGACATAACAAATAGAAGATAAAATAACCCGACTGAGTTGCACCGTCGATAAATCGGGTTGAAAACATTCGGTGAAAATTTTTGAATTCAGGCTCCTAAGAAGTGGGAATGCTACGGAGACATAATTTGAAAAAGTGATGACCCGTGTTCAAACAGATACGTTTTCAACTTAGAAAACTCGAAGCTGACTGTGTTAATATAATACGAATGGCAAAGCCCGTCGATAACTTTAACACCGTCGAACGATAATCCCCACGAAGGGTTTTATTGATTATTGAACCCAAATGGCTAACGAAACGAAGGTAGCCGCTGAATCGGGGAATATTTTGAGGTGAAACAATCCGCGATGAAGGAAAACAGAGCATCCCTAATGATAAACAACAGCTTTTGATAAAGTATCGAAAATCGGTTCTCGTAGCTCGGGTGAACTGGATTCTATTTCGCTTGTTCGCCAACCTTGGCAATTTGTTTGCAAACGTTTCATCACCAGCCGAGGTAACATCATCAGTGCTTGTGAAGTGTCGCTTGAGACGAAATAGAAAACAACAGCTTGATCATTTGGTGAAGTACTTTCAAAGACAGTTACCGTGACCGTTTCAGCTGGAACTCCATAGGCGCTATCGCGTGAACTCACAACAGAACAACAAATGCAAGGATATGAAAAGATATTTGGCCATGAGGAGCCTCTCCTAGTGCTGCTTTACCGCATCCAACCTGGTGGGAAGAGCGTATTTCTTCAACCTTGGGTGAATCACTGGTCCTTGTAGTTTTCCGGAAGTGATCTCTAAGTAACCAAAGACTGTCGTGGGATGATCTTAGGTTCGGTAATCACCAAAAGGTTAGCATCTGTGCAACTTCACTGACCGGCTCGTTTCAGGGTAAGCAGCATCCGCAAACAATACGCACGATTTCGATTAGGTCAAATTCGCATTGATATTGTCTTCACGTTGCATCAATTCCTCGAGATACGCGAAATCATACCACACACCAACAGTTGTAGTGTTCCTCGACCAAAAAACGTTTTCCATCGAGTTTGCTGTATGCACAGGATTATTCATGATGAACGGGATGTAGAGCAGTCGTTAGTATGCTTAGGCTCAGGTGACGAATCGGTGACCAACCAATATGTGATTTGGGATTGTGTGTAGGGGGACAGGTATTGATCAAACTCGTGCAACATGACTCACATCCTGGACCTACATTCCCTTTCCATCGGCATACGTGTATATCGACCATTATGGGTGAAATCAATTTATTCCGAACTTTAACTCCCACTGCAATGTTCTTATCACCGTTTCAAAATGCGTGACCTTGAGTACCACGCTATAGGTTGCAGTAATTAGGATTCGTTTTAAGCAAAGCAACATGGAAGAGCATTCGTTCTAATAAATGATTGCTTTCTCACAAGGTTGTTTTTCATTTTTTCATTAGGTGCACAGCAAATAAGTTGATTATTTAAAATTTTCTCGCCTAAATAAATCAATAAATTATGCGACTATAAATTGCTCACGCAAACTCCCTCATCCTGAAGCAAGTAAAAATATAATCAAACATTAAAGGCGACCTTGGAAATTTGACTTTGAGTTGTGTAGGTCGTTGAATAAACCTTCTGCAGTGTCACCATGTCCGTACCGGATAAAATATCAAAGAGCTTTTAGCATCTAGTTGAAGCCGGAAGGTAACTTATTCCAGAGGTGCATCAATCTGAAAACCCAGTTGCTAGACAAAGGTTAATATTGGTCGTAGAAAACGTTTAGACTTCAGTAAATATAATTTTTACAGATGTATGTATTTTCTAGCTGGGTCATGTTTGATGTCAAACTCATTCCATTACCACACAGCACTTGGGATTCAAATGTAATCCAAAAAAATCCGTATTAAAACCAAGAATAAATTCGCGGCCTTATCAGTCGTCAGTGTTCAGGGGGCTACATGTAATAGAGGCAAATGGAAAAAGCTGTTTGACAGGACAAATTGATGGACTCCATGAGAAAACGACGAGTTCCAGTGTTAAAATATAAAGAGGAGTAAATAGAACAATGACAAAACGAAATTACAATACCTGTATCATGCCTAAGAGTCAGATTATAAATAAATTCTAGATTATGTTCCTATGGAGTGTCTTTGTTTTTTACAAATGGTGCACCATCAACCGTCATCGAAATAGAAAAATCGTACGGTTTAACGATATTAAATTAGTGTAAAGGATATTATTATATATATGTTGTGTCTGCTGTGGAGCAATATCCTGTGAATGAGGCTGGAAATACTAAGTGTTGAGAGGAACGGATCTGATGGAAGTTAGGGTGTTGCACGAATTTGATCAATACCTGTATTCCATCAAAGGGAATAAATCGTTTGGTTCAAGGGCTCAACGTGGTATTGCCCAAGATTCGACGCCCTTAGTGATAGGATGTTCTGAATTGGCACAGAGTTAGCTTAGAGTGATGCCGGGAAATCGCAAATTGAAATATATATAATTATCCGTACGCATAACAAAAGGCAAAATTTTCAATCACACACAAAAGCCACTGCAGTAATAGGACACTATCGTGATAGGATATTACGCAATAGTCTTGGAACAGTTTCGCAGATCACAGAAACAAACTGGTGACCATTTGGAACAAACCTCTCTGTTGGTAGTCGACGGAGGCGGTCTATCTCCTTTTCATCTGGATATTTTCTCCATTTCATCGAGACAATCTTG